CCTACCTATCGTGAAACGGTCGACTGTTTCCGGATTTCCGACTCTCGCCGAAAGTGCGCCACCAAATGACAAAATGTGAGAGGAAGCCATACCCCTGAGCCGTAATAACACTGGTCGTTCAGTATACTTTTAAACGATATACATTTTTCGGTCGGCGTTTTTTTCTTTTTTTTTGTCTATTTTATTTATTTTTTTTGAGAGAGAGTTTTTAGATGTTGTGTTGTGGGCAGTTGCAGTGAAACGTATAGCCATAGTGTATGTATTCACACGTTTCTAATCGATCCTAAAAAAGGTAGCAATAATTTTGACAGTGACACGAAAACGAAGCGTCAGACAAACAGGAAATTACACAGCCCTTACACAATGCTAATTGTTTTCATTTTCTAAGGCTAAAAGTTTCTCAATTGTTTGGTGATTGGTGTTGAATGTCAAATTCACACCTCTGTTCTTTTTTACCTTTATGCTTGCAGATTGATCTGCGTAATAATTTATGAAATAAGAAACCGGGCTTGGTCAATGTGTTTCCAGCAAATAAAGTTTTAATACGATGTTATAATTATGACAATCACGCCATGGATCACGCTAACTCGAATCCACTCTGAATTTATCTGTATGTGTGTCGATCTCGATTATTTTTGTTACCCACCTTTTGTTACCTTTTAACGCACTTGCCCTCGCCGTGACCTGACGCGTTCACCCATTTCAACAAAATGTCAATTTATTTCCACGCGGCTGTCATTTATTTAGTAACTGTGATTTGTCGTTTTTTTAATTATATTATAGTGATCACTTTAGTCTAATGTTTAGAATGTCAAAATATGTTCTCTTTTATTTTAATTTTGAAAGTTTTACTCAGACGATCGATGAAATAAAACAGTGTAGTGACGTGCCTAGTAACCTGCTAAATAACGAGATAATTCCGATGTCAAATTCTATTTTGTCCAGCGACAGTGTACAAACGTGCGCCGGTGTCGGTGGCGATCACGGTGACCAGCTACACCGGAACGGACACATTTCGCATCTAACTCAACCCCATGCAACAAAAATTAATACTATGTGTTCATTATGGTCCATTCTTCCTCGACGAACAAGTACATAAGTGACAATATAGTCAAAGACGAGAAAACTGCACAAGAAATTTGCCTTATTTACACGTATTGGCAATGCAAGCTGCCATGCGACTT